AGCGATGTCTCCAATGGAAGATATATTCTCCACAAAATTTCAGTATGGGTCACTGAAAAAAAGATATCGATAACTATAATATATAGCGATAAATATTAAGTATAAATTTGGTAAACATTCAAAAAATTATTTATTGGCCAAATTTATATATTTCTTTTAAATTTGGCCGAATTTTTTTAACAATACGTTAATTTATTGTTGTGATGTCAGAGAAAAATATATTCTTCATAAAATTTCACTATAGGTCCCTGAACAAAATTTATCGATAGCAATAATATTTATCTATGAAACATTATCGACAGTTTGGCTATATATAAGAATATCATCTTTTGGGCGGTTTTTGTTACATTTTCCAATTTGGACGGAATTCTCCCACAAATATTAAATATTCAGGGATGTCACCAATGCAAGATATATTCTCCACAAAATTTCACTATAGGTCACCAAACAAGTGATTTCGCTAAATATAACATGTAGCGATAAATTTTGAGTGTCAATCAGGATACATACGAAAAAATTATTTATTGAACGAATTTATGTATATATTTTTAAATTTGGTCGAATTCTAACACAATACGTTATTTTATGATTGTAATGTCAAAGAAAAATATATTCTTCGTAAAATTTCATTATAGGTCCCTGTGCAAAATTTATCGATAACAATAATATTTGTCTCTGAAATATGGTCAACAAATTCGCATATATTGGAATTACTTGTTTTTGGCGGTTTTTTTTTTTTGTTACATTTTCCAATTTGGGCCGAATTCTCCCATAATAATTAATTTTTAAGGTATGTCACCAATGAAAGATTCCCCACAAAATTTCACTATAGGTCACCGAACAAAATATGTCGATAACTATAATATATAGCGATACATTTTGAGTATCAATTTGGTAAACATGCAAAAAATCATTTATTGGGTGAATTTATATATTCTTTTTAAATTTGGTCGAATTTTAAAACATTAAATCATTTTAGGGTTATGACGTCAAAGACAATTATATTCTTCATAAAATTTTACTATAGGTCCCTGAACAAAAGATATCAATAACTATAATATTTATCTGTGAAATATTGGCGAAAATTTTTTGGTGTCTACGAATGACTAATTTTGGGCGATTTAATGATGACAATTGTAAAGATATTTTATGAAATTTCAAACTTTTTATTAGCCCTTTCGAAAAAATATTTTTTTAAATAACTTCGACCTTTTTTACAGCTGTTTAACAAATATTTTCACAAATTCACACATGTCAATAGCCCTTTTGAAAAAAAAATCATCAGCTATTAAAAACCTCACACATCAACGCCAAAAGACTTTAATTATCTCCCAATGTTCATCGCTTCAGATATTTTTTTGTTCGTTCTTGCTTTTAGCTGTAACTGACTACCCTCTTACAGAATGACAGCTATGCAGACAATGCACACCGTTGTTATCCGCCACTTACAGACATACCAAACTACCATATCAATGCGAAACCCGCATTCCAACAATGGTCAAAGTCAAGGTTGTTTCGTTTCTGCTGCTGCTTGGTAACTTAACTGCTGCCGCCAAAGTTATGAAGACTTTTTCTTGCGAAGTTTATTTTTAGCGCTGCCTGACAAGCCCTCTCTGCACAATGCATTGCTGCTCCCCAAAGATTTTTTCTCTGTGTGGTGCATTTTTCAATGGTAATTAAATTTGATATGAATGAAAAAAAAACCGGTTCCTTTTATTTTTGGTCACAATTAATGACGATTAACGATTAGAAGAACTGACCTGCAGCAGCAGCAGCAGCTCTGGGTCGGGTATATTTTTGGTATGCAACGTGTGACTTATTAAAAAAAAAAACTAAAATTCTATTCTTGATCAGGAAATGACGAAATCTCTAGAACATATTTTTTTTTTTAAACTCAAAACTGTTTTGGATTCCAAAAATAAATTTGTATGGTTCCGAAATGCATTTATTTAAAGTCATTAGCCATTAAAAAAAACTTGTTTAATACATATTTTATATTTTTTTTTTAAATCTATAAATAATCCGCAAAACAGAAGCATGAACTATGTGCGGCAGGTCAGTGCCAAATGGGTGTTAGAGATGATTAATGGTGCTTAGGAAAATAAAATAATATTCGTGTTGAAATCTGAAAATATTTCATCAAAATATTTTTAAAAAATTGGAAGCTTGAAAAAGCATATTTTTGGAGGTTTCTGAAAAATATTTTTAATACATTTTGGTTGACCACCACCAAAATACCGAATATTTTTTAGAGTACCGTCATATATGGGCCACTTTAAAAATTGGACGAATGTTGATAATTTTTGGTCGGAATGTTTGCTACCTAATGAGGACCTATAATATTAAATTACATACAATTCGGTTGAAACACTTTACAAAAACCTCAAAAATTCCGAAATTTAAGGGGTACCCTCAATGGAGATCACCCCTAAATGTGAACCAATATAATTAATTTTTGGTTGGAAGATTTGCTGCCCAATGAGAAATGAGAAATATTAAATTATAGGAAATTCGGTTGGAAAACGTGTTCCAAATATCGAAATTTGGGGGTACTATTATATGGGAGCTATACGAAAGCTTGGACCAATATTTATCATTTTTGGTTGGAAGACATGGTACCCTATGAAAACCCAAAATATCAAATTGCAGCCAATTCGGTTGAAAAATGTGGTCAAACTCTCAAAATATCGAATATTTAAGGGTACCCTTATATGGAGGCCACCCTTAAAAGTGGACCAATATTAATAATTTTTGGCATGAATATTTGCCACCCAATGAGAACCCAAAATACCAAATTACAGCCAATTCGGTTTAAAAATGTTACCAAACTCCCTAAATATCGAATATTTAAGGGTAGCCTTATGTGGAGATCACACTAAAAATTGGAGCAATATTAATCATTTTTGGTGGGAAGATTTTCTACACAATAAGAACACAAAATATCAAATTACAGCCAATTCGGTTGAAAAAGGTGTTCAATCTCACCAAAATATCGAAATTTGGGAGGTACCGTTATCCGGAAGCTACCATAATAAGTGGACCACTATTAATAATTTCTGGTGGGAAGTTTTGCTACCCAATGAGAACCCAAAATGCCAAATTACAATCAATTCGGTTGAAACACGTTCTCAAGATCCTCAAAATACTGAAAATTGCGGCTACCATTAAATGGGAGCTATACGAAATTGTGGACCAATATTAATAATTTTTGCAATGAATATTTGGCAGCCAATGAGAACCCAAAATACCAAATTACAACAAATTTGGCTGAAAAAAGGTCCAAATCTCTCCAAAATATCGAAATTTCTAAGGTATCGTTATATGGGGGCTAGCCTAAAAAATGGACTGATATTGATTATGTTTTGTAGGAAGATATGATACCAAATTAGAACCCAAAATATCAAATTATAGGCAATTTCGTTGGAAAATGCGCCTAAAATCCCCAAAATACCGAAAATTGAAGGGTACCCTTTCATGGGGGCTATACAAAAGCGTGGACCGATCTTGACAATTTTTGGTAAGAAGATTCGACACCTATTGAGAAGCCATAATACCAAATTACTGCCAATTCGGTTGAAAAATGTGCCCAAAATTCTAAAAATATCGAATTTTGGGGGTTATCGTTATATGGGTGCTATACCAAAACGTGGACCTATCTTGACAATTTTCGGTAAGAAGATTCGACACCTAATGAGAATCCATAATACCAAATTACAGCCAATTCGGTTCAAAAATGTGAAAAAAATCTAAAAATATCGAATTTTGGGGGTTATCATTATATGGGGGCTATACGAAAGCGTGGACCGATCATGACAATTTTTGGTAAGAAGATTCGAAACCTATTGATTATCCATTATACCAATTTACAGCCTATTCGGTTGAAAAATGTGCCAAAAATCTGGCAAAATATTGAAAAATTATGTTATGGTTATATGGGGGCTATACCAAAAAGTGGACCAATGCCAATAATTTTCCGTAGAATGTGTTGCTATTCATTGAGAATCCATAATACCAAATTACAGTCAATTTGGCTGGAAAACGTGTCTAATATTCTAAAAAAAAAAATATTTTTTGGGGGTACCATTTGAATGGGGCTATACCAAAACGTGGGCCGATATTGAACATTTTTGGTAAGAAGATTCGACACCTATTGAGAATCCATAATGCCAAATTACAACAAAATTAGAGCCAAAAATGTGCCCAAAATCTCCAAAATATTAAAAAATAATGAGGTTAGGGTTATATGGGGGCTATACCAAAACATGGACCGATATATCCGATTTTCAATACCAAACATCCTAAGGCCTGTGACAATGTATGAAATTTCAAAGCTGTTAAATTTTTGGAGATGTTTAAGGGAGGTTTTAAAAATCAAAGGCAATTCCTCATTTAAATTAGACCCCTCTTTGGAACCCTTGAATACTCTTTTAATATTTTTTTTTTTCATTTTTCTTTTCAATAAAAAATTCAATATTTTAGTTAAAAAATATGTTTCAATTTTCTTTTCATTTTTTTAATATTAGAATATTTGGTTTCAATTGTTTTCGTAGTTACTTTTCTGTAAAGTCGTCTTATAATTATTACAATTTGTGTGTGAGTATGTGTGTGTGGGAGGAGGGATGTTGTATGTGTGTGTATTAGTAGTACATAAGAAAATGATTTGAGATTCCTTATTTTTTTTTTCTATGAAAATAAACTTAACTTAATTATTTCTTAAATGTATTTGTATAGAGAAAGGGGTTTCGAGAATGTGTTTTTGTTTTTGGTTGATGATTGAGTACATTTTGTTGTTGTTATTATTGCTACAAATACATTACAAACTACTAAGGCACATATAAAAATTCGGCAAGGAGCCTTTTTTACTTATATTACGAAAAAATAAACTCGTTGCGTGTTTATTTCTTAAAAAAACTATAAAAGCAAATTGAATATTTGGTATGGATTGTTTTGATTTTTACGAAATGTTTACGAAAAATAATTTGGCAATTTTAATGGCAACCTTAAAATTCATCACGTGTTGCTGCCGCTTCTAATTGTGGCTCGGGTAAATCGACATTTTTATTATCGAGTCGTGGTTCAGCCAAGAAAGCCCTTTCTGGATCACTTTTCAATTGGGCGGCAGATGGTGACTTGTTCTTTTGATGTGCCTCAATAACATAGGAATCTTCTGTATCGGAAATATAACCATAATCTCCAGTATAGTGTGTAGGATATAGCAACAAAGGTGCAGCACTAAATGCCAATAGATCACGTTCAGGGAATGCTTCGGACCAAGTTTTATTCGGATGTCTATTAAACATAATGGGTAGGAATTCATCTACAGGCAAGAGTTTTTCCAATGGTTTGGCTTTCAACAATTTCTCGGCACCTTTTAGGGATAGGACATAACCCAATGTCCAATAGGAATAGCCAACATGTACCAAATTTTCGGTGTTTTCAACCCAAGGCTCAACCTCATCCTTTAGGCGTTTGCGGCCAAAGTAACTAGAAATCAAAAAATATTCAATTAATCTTCAAAATTAATTAAATATTTTTTTTGTTCAATACTCACACCAAATCATAATCGATAACCTTGCGTACTTGTTCCATAACACCCAAAGCCTTCTCGCGGAAATACGCTTCGAAGCGTATATCATCCTCTAGAATCAATACCTCCTTTTGTTGTTTCTCAACCATGGTTTGCCAAATATTGTAGTGGCTCAAGAAGCAACCAATTTCACCCAGAGTCATGGGCCTTTGATGATAGGGATCCTCATAGCCGGGCAGAAATTTAATACCGAGCTCCTTGATCATTTCGGGGGTAAGGCGCCTGGAAGAAAAGAGAAATGAATTAGATTTTTTTGTCATTAAAATGGATTTGAAAATTTAACTTACTTTCCATCCACAGCTGGGAAATATTCAACATCCAGATTTAGGGCATCGAAAAGTTTCAACATTTTATCACGTCTTTCAGGGCGACGTTCAAGGTTGATCATATAGATGTGGTCTAAGCCAAGTTTGTCTCTGGAAATAAAAGAGATGAAAAAAAATTAGATTTTCAATAAAAATATTAAAAAAATTTAATAAAAAAAAAATTAAAAAAAATTGAAAAAAAAATATTTAAAAAAATATATTTAAAAAAAATATTTAAAAATATTGAAAAAAATATTAAAAAAAAATTCAAAAAAAATATTACAAAAAAAATTAAAAAAAATACTCAAAAAACAATTATTAAAAAAATATTTAAAAAAAATGAAAAAAATATTTTAAAAAAAATATTAAAAAAAATGTTTAAAAAAATTTAAAAAAAATGTTAAAAAAATATTTTAAAAAAATTAAAAGAATATTTAAAAACCAGTTTCTTCAAACTTGAAAAATCTAGAAATTCAGTACGTTATGCCAAATTTCGTATATAAAGATATATAGGGACTTCACCACTATGGTATATTCTACAAATATATCGTAATCGACATCGCCTTTTTCAGAAACATTGAAATTGAAATTGATTAGGCTGTACCAAATTTCATGTAAATGTAATCTTTATCTATTTACATGAAATCGACTAACATATATCCGAGCTATATTCTAAAACCTATGCTAATTTTCATTTCACTCAGGCAGAATTACATTCGTTTGCGTAAATGATTAGGCTGTACCAAATTTCGTGCAAATCGAAAGATATATGGGGACCGTTTACATTAAATCGGTTAAATATATATATGAGAGCTATATCTAAATCTGAACCGATTTTTCCCAATTTCAATAGGGTTCGTCCTTAGGCCGAATACGTGACCTATGCCAAATTTCATCCAATTCAGATCATAAATGCGACCTGTACTTTGTTTACAATTTAACATGGACAGACAGACGGACGGACGGACGGACGGACATTCATAAATCGACTTAGAAAGTGATTCTATGCATATTCTCAAAAGGAACCATGTGTCTATCTCGTTTTATTTTGCCTGTTACAAACATATGCACAAAGACATAATACCCTGTACCACAGTGTGGTGAAGGGTATAAAAATCGAAAATATATATGTGAGCTATATCGAAATCTGAACCGATTTTAAGGAAACTTGGCAAACACGCTTGCCAAATTTCGTGCAAATCGAAAGATATATAGGGACTTTGGTGGATCATTTACCTTAAATCGGACGAAAATATATATGGGAGATATCTAAATCTGAACCGATTTTCACGAAACTTAGCACACATTATTCAAGGCTTCACTCAGTACGCTATGCAAAATTTCGTGCAAATCGAATGATATATAGGGACTTTGGTGTACCATTTATTTTAAATCGGACGGAAATATATATGAGAGCTATATCTAAATCTGAACCGATTTTCAAGAAACTTGACAGACATCACACTATGCTCAATTCAGTACGCCATGCCAAATTTCGTGCAAATCGAAAGATATATAGGGACTTTGGTGCCTATATCGGACAAAAATATATATGGGAGATATATCTAAATCTGAACCGATTTTCACGAAACTTAAAACACATCATTCTGGACCTAATTCAGTACCCTATACCAAATTTCGTACAAATCGAAAGATATATAGGGACTTTGGTGCCTATATTGGACGAAACTATATATGGGAGCTATATCTAAATCTGAACCGATTTTCACGAAACTTGGCAAACATCACTCTAGGCTCAATTCAGTATGTTATGCCAAATTTCGTGCAAATCGAAGGATATATAGGGACATTGGTGCACCATTTACCTTAAATCGGACGAAAATATATATGGGAGCTATATCTAAATCTGAACCGATTTTTCCCAATTTCAATACGGTTCGGAAGGGCGGACATAGCTAGATCGTCTTAGAAATTTACCCTGATCAAGAATATATATACTTTATAGGGTCGGAAATGAATATTTCGATGACTTACAAACGGAATGACAAAATTAATATACCCTCCATACTATGGTGGAGGATATAAAAATCCACGCATTTGAAAAAATAATTTTTTTTTTAAATACTCGACTTTGAAAAAATAATTTTAAAAAAATCCACGCCTTTGAAAAAATAATTTTAAAAAATCCATGCCTTGAAAAATTAATTAAAAAAATCCATGCCTTGAAAAAATAATTTTTAAAAAATCCACGCCTTTGAAAAAATAATTTTTAAAAAATCCACGCCTTTAAAAAAATAATTTTTAAAAATCCACGCCTTTAAAAAAATAATTTTTAAAAAATCCACGCCTTTGAAAAAATAATTTTTAAAAAATCCACGCCTTTGAAAAAATAATTTTTAAAAAATCCACGCCTTTGAAAAAATAATTTTTTTTTAAATACTCGACTTTGAAAAAATAATTTTTAAAAAATCCACGCCTTTGAAAAAATAATTTTTAAAAAATCCACGCCTTGGAAAAAATAATTTTTAAAAAATCCACGCCTTTGAAAAAGTAATTTTAAAAAAATCCACGCCTTTGAAAAAATAAATTAAAAAAAATCCACGCCTTTGAAAAAATAATTTTAAAAAAATCCACGCCTTGAAAAATTAATTTTAAAAAATCCGAGCCTTGAAAAATTAATTCAAAAAAAGTGCACGCCTTGAAAAAATATTTTAAAAAAATTCACGCCTTTGAAAAAATAATTTTTAAAAAATCCACGCCTTGGAAAAAATATTTTTTAAAAAATCCACGCCCTTGAAAAATTAATTTAAAAAATCTAAGCCTAGAAAAAGTATTTAAAAAAAATCCACGCTTTGAAAATTTAATTTAAAAATCCAGGTCTTTGAAAAAAAAAATTAAAATCCTTCATTGAAAAAATAATTTTTAAAAATCCACGCCTTTGAAAAAATAATTTAAAAAAAACACGCCTTTGAAAAAATATTTTTTAAAAATCCAGGCCTTTGAAAAAATAATTTGTAAAAATCCGTGTTTGAAAAAATAATTAAAAAAAAACACGCCTTTGAAAATATAATTTTTAAAAATCCAGGCCCTTGAATAAATCATTTTAAAAAAATCCGGCTTTGAAAAAATAATCTTTAAATAATCCGTCTTTGAAAAAAAATTTAAATCCGTCTTTGAAAAAATAATTTTCAAAAATCCACGCCTTGAAAAACTAATTTAAAAAATCCAAGCCTTGAAAAAATATTTTTACAAAATCTGTTAGTTCTTGGAAAAAATATTTCAAAATCATTGTCTTATAGTTCTTGCAAACAAATCCATTTTTTTGGAAATGGTGTACATGAGAGTAGGGTAAAAAATAAGAGATTTTTTTCAAATTAAGAGTACTATTTGTTTACATTCAAATCTCCAGCGATCTGCTGCTGCCATAGCCAATTGAAAAAATTATATCATGAGGATACAATGTGCATTCTAATGGATACATAAAAAATATTGTATATCAGTATACACACTGCAAAAAACAAAAACAGATTGCATGTGCAAAGAAAAAAAACGACACACACACAAACCATGTGTTCTAAATAGTTTTGTAATTAAATACAATTTATGTGTTTATGCTTTGGCATTCGTATTTTTTTTTTTTATTATTTTTGATTTAGAATATTGTCTGGTTACTAAGACGGGAATACTTTTTTCCAAGAACATTTAAAAAAAGGAAATTCATTTTAAAATATGTTTGTAGTCGACCCTCCAAAATTTGGACATGCATGCCATGCCGCCACCGGCATAAATATGTGAGAGAGTGTTTGTATTTTCAAAACTGTATCACATCCATGTATTGGTAAAAGTCAAAACAACATCATTAATGTATTCATGAATTGTGTGAAGAAAATTTGATCTGATAAAAAAGAGGGAAATATGATCTCAGTGACATGTTTTGGTTGGTGTTGTTGTAAAAATTAAGAAATGGGGTTTTACTGATAAACAAAAAAATAAGAAATTGAATTTTGGATGCAAGGGGTTATCAGCGAAAAACATAATTTTGAAATTTAGTTTTATCAGTAAACCAACATGTTTTATATGACTAATAATTTTTAAAGTGGATTTTCAAAATAAAAAAAAAATAAAATTTTCAAATACTACTCACTTTTCCTCTTTCCTTTCGAAGGGCTTCAAATAGTCCTTAACCTCAGCCACCTTGCCCAAATCATTTATAATATTCGTTTTGATATTCTGCAACTGCTTATAATCCTGTTCCAGTTGTTCGGTATTTTCCAATGGTTGTAAAATATAACCAAATGGCACTTCATTCGTTATGAACAACGGTATTCTTGAACAATTTGCCGATATGGCAAAAACAATAATATCATCGACAGGGCCATCATACAAACGACACTGTTCACCCAAACTTGCAGCATATTCCAAACCATTCTGCAGTTGTGTTCTCAAATTATCACGATCGAATGTCAAATATGGTGCGCCATTATAATTGACATTTATCAAAACTGCACTATGGATCATGGGCACTTGAAAGATACCCTCTTGATGGACATTATAAATCTCCCGATACATATCAGTACGTAAGTAATAATAGTCAGGGGTCATGCCACACCAGAAATTTGAATACAGACCCTCTGATAAGAGCATGGGTGCGACAATGGGTAAATTCAATTCGGTTAAATGTTTAAGGGTACGGGGTTCAGTCAGCAAGACATCAGCATCCAAATACTAAGAAAAAAATGAAAGAGATTAGAAAAAAAGAAACAACATAAAATGCATAAGTGGCACAATAGTCGAAGGAGATAAGACTTGCGATTGAATTCAATACTTACAAATATATAATCAGCCCAGATTTTTTCTGCGTACACAAATGCTTCTTCTTTCAATTTGATAAGATGATGAAAACGTGCTTCGGGCCAATCCAATACCGACTTTTCGTTTTCAAAACTTGTCTCCGTGTCATTGAATACTTTGTCCACGCTGTGATATTGGCGTTTCACATTTTTCAACCATGTTTCTAATATTTCCACGCTGGCATCTGTATTGTGATCGGAACGAATCCTGTAATGAGATATAGGGGAGACATGCAATTAGTTAAATGTTTGAAATAATATTAGGCAAAAAATTGCAAATTAAATAATTTTAGAAATTTAAAATATTTGAGAAATGTAAAATATTTAAAAAATTTTATATTTTACAGATTTTAGAAAAGTTTTTGTTTCCAAGTTCAAATACTTTGGAAAATTTTGAATATCATCGAAATTTTAAATACTTTAACAATTTTAAGTATTTTTGAAAATTATTTTCTAATTTGTGAAATATTTTAAATTTGTAAAATTTCTTAAATATCTTAATTTCTAAAATATTTTTAATTTCCAAAATATTTAAAATTTCCAAAATGTTTAAAATTTGTAAAACATCTTAATTTCTAAAATATTTAAAATTTCTAAAATATTTAAAATTTCCAAAATATTTAAAATTTCTTTTTAATATATTTAGAATTTTTCAAATTTTTAATATATAATAGATATTTTAAATATATTTGGAAATTTTAAAAATTTTGAAAATTTAAAATATTTTTGAAATTTAATATATTTTGAAAATTTTAAATATTTAAGAAATTTAAAATATTTTACAAATTTTAATATTTTTATATATATTAAAAATATTTCATATATGAAAATAATGTCCCTAAAGTAATCAGATTGTCACTGGGCTCTACAAATTCAGACATGCGGGACTATCATCTATAGATAAGCTTAGATCAATTTATCAATATGTCACGTGGGTCATACTCCTAGGGTTATTTATCAAATTGAAAAATACAACTTCCGACTAAGAAGGATCATAAGATTGTAATAAACCCCTGTGTACTTAGTAGCGACAAAATCCAAAAATTCCCGAAAAAAGTTTTGGCCCATTTTTATATTGCTCAGTTTCACCGCTCGTTAGAAGCGTCATCGGTTTTATATTCAAATGTGTACTGCTATTAGAATACCCCGATTATCTAAACAATTTCAAATCTTCTATGCTCACTGCTCTTCTGTTGAACCACATTGTGGTTAAATTATGCTGGCATATGTTCTGCTTTACAGAAACCATAAAAAATTCCTAAGCAATAAAATTCCCGCACATAAATATTTTGGATGCTGGAGTGTCATCTATAAAACAGAACGATCGCACTGAAACTCAAAATACAATATCCTTAACTAACATGCAGTGTTGGATCTATCCCCCATATACCTTTAAGATACACCAAACAGATATTATAAAAATAAATTAAAATAAAAAAGTATTTCAAACTTACCACAATGCAATGCGATCCTTGGGATAATCCAATTGATCCAAATAGGTAAGAAACAGCGGCAGGACATGAGCCTTATTACGCACCAGCAAGGCTATCAATACTTTGGGTGGCGATTCACCCAAATCTTCGGGCAGCAGATGGGCAATACGTTGCACCGATTCGGGTGGTGTCTTACCGTATGTGCCGGTCCATAGACCACAACAACATCCGGTTATGAGAAAAAATATCCACACAGTTTTCATTTTAATAAAAATTCTGTTTTTGTTTAGATTATAGGGATGTGTGAATGGGAGGAGTGTGTGTTTGTGTTTGCGCGGCTACGGTGCGGGTGTGTACCAGAAACTGTGTCTGGTTGTGCCGCTGGTTACTGAACAACTGATACTGAATGAATATTATCCGTGCGCTACATGAGTTTTTTGTTTTTCTTTTCTGAAAAACTATCTCTTCGTTTTTGTTTTGTTCTTGCTTTTACTGTTCTCTTGTCTTTTGTTGTTGTTGTTGCACTGTGTGTATTTTTCGTTCCTTATGGGGCAGGTTTAGACGTTGAATGTTCTTGCTGAAACTTGCACTAGACAGTTTCATTAAAGGCGGATTTGTGTTTTAACGGTGAAGAGAGGGGGAATTGTTGTTGTTTCTCTTCTTTGTCATCATTATTCTATCATGAAATAGACTGCGCGCAACATGATATGTCATTTGTTAGAGAGGGAAAGGGATAGAGCCATCAATTCTATTTGGCGCCAACTAATCCACGCATACTGTTTCTTTACAATATTCCATTGAATTAGTATGATGAAGCTTATCTCCTCCTTCTTTTTCTTCCTCCCCTCCACTATCACATAACAAACAATTTATTTTTTTCAATAAAACTTTGTTCCAATTGCATTCACTTCGTGTTTATGTCAACGCCGGCAACTGTTATATTGTGCCGGCGTCATTCTTCACGTAAAACGTAAACATATGACAACGGGCAATGAAACAGTGATACTTAAATAGATACGTCAATAAAATGGCAGAAAACAATGCCTGTTATGTATTTAACGGAAAATTTAGTAAATATTTGAATTAAATTGTATTAAAATGAGATTTAATTAAATATTTGATATTTTATTATGTCAACACCGTCATCTATTGTATTGTGCCGGCGTCATTCTCAACCAAAAACATAAACATATGCAAACCGACAATGAAACAGTGATACTTAAGTGAATACGCATTTAAAATGGCAGAAAACAATGCAATTCAATGAGTTAACGGAACATTTAATAAAAAATGGACTTAAATTGTGTTACAATGGGAATTAATTAAATACTTAAACTATTATTGTCATAAAATTTATAAATTTTAATAAACATATTTTATATTTATTATTTATCAAATATATGAAAAACAGTTAAATATGTCACCGAAGAAGTGGCTTAGCTATCATTTATATTTTATTCTGAAGGAGTTTTTTTATACTCTATTAATTAATGTTGCTGACATTTAGCCATTCTTTGAATCATACATAGGCCCGACAGGGGGAATTTGGCGAACTGAAAATATTAAATCGCTTCTGAAATGGCCTGCGACTTAATAACTAAAAAAGGGGATGATTATAATACCCCTGTAAGGGAAATATAATGTGTTTGACATCTTAGTAGATAGTAGTACTGTGTATGTTCCAGCCATGTGGGTCATCTGGAGCTTTCTTTTGTTTATTAATAAGGCCATTCTTCTGTTTATTAATAAGGTCATCCAGGGAGACTAGCTGGATATCAGCTGATTCTCAAGTTTGCTGTCAAAAACCATTATGAATTGACTTCCATTATAAAAACGAAAACAAAGTAAAAAAACTTGACTTTATATTAAAAAAACAGCTGACTTTTGGTTGCTGGGTGACCCTATTAATAGATCTTGTGTGGGGAAGACAGTGAAACGCTGGAATATTTCCTGTACCACTGCCCAGCATTTACATGCCTTCAGAGACAATTCTTGGGAAATGACACTCTTCACGGACTAACCGATGTGAGGGGGTGTGAATGGAGAAGATTGAAGGAGTTCGCAAAAAAACAAGGAATTCCTAGATTCATAGGGGAATCAAACCCAAATGTTTTTTATATAAACTTTCATTAATTCTTGACTTTCTGCGCATTTCTAGACCCCACAACAGGCCTCAAATGGCTTATGTGTATGTCCTTCTCATGTTGGACATGTTGTGGTATCACCCATCCCTCTTTTCAACCTAACCTAATAGATCTTGATATGTAGACCACTGCAGTTAATTTGATAAATCTCTTTTGAAATTCTATGCATCGTATAGTATGTTTACATTGTACCGGATTCATTTAATCCAGTAGAAAAATTATCATTATTTATTCACGTTATAGGTTAACGGAACCCCATATATTCGATATTTTGAATATCTTGGACACCTTTTGCCAACGAAATGGTTGTTATTTGATATTTTAGGTTCTCATTGGGTTGTAAATCTCCCTACTAAAAACGATCAATACTCGGTCCACGATCAAGTTGAGTTCCCATATGGAGCTACCACCAATTTTTGGTGTTATGCGGTTTTCGGACAAGTTTTTGAGACTGTAATTACATATTTTTTAATCTTATTTGATGGTAAATCTTCCCACCAAAAGTTGTCAATATTGGTCCACGTTTTCCTATAGTCACCATACAAAGGTACCCACCAATTTACGATATTTTGGATATTGTGGGAACGTTTTTCAACCGACAAGGTTCTTATTCAATATTTGGTTTTCTTAATCGGTGTTAAATAATAATTATAGAAGGTAAAACTCCTTGTACATTAGAACTTTTTACCGGGGTTAACCTACTTTATGAGGATTTATTTGACATATATGGAAAGGAAATGGCAATTGAAACCCACTGGGTTAACGAAATCCGGTTAAATGTAAACGTACTGTAACAGCAAATCCCAGCTGATTTGATTCCAACGTAATACTAGTGTCAATATGAATTTGACAAATTATGTTTTTAGAAATCACCCAACAGGAAAATTGGGAACGCATACAATTTAAAATTGTTCTTTATTAAATGTGTTCCTGTTTTCAATTTACTCAATCTGCCTGTTGGGAAAGTTTGAGGAAGCAAATCTTTCTTCAAGGAATAACTCGCTATTCCCAGCATTTTCATATGTGTTACACATATATATGGCAATGGCTCAATTATAGGAAAGATGTGGAATAGATAGAAATATAAATTTTATAGATTTTCATTCATGTTTTTCAATTTTTATTTTGAGGATTCGAAAATATTTCATTTTCAAAATAAAAATAATTTGATGATAATTTGTTTGTTTACATTTTTCTGTCAAATGAGTTGACACTAGTAGAACTTACAACAACAAATTTCCATGTGGTTGTTGTAACGTTTTTTGTACAACAACACTTGCTGTTACCTTCTATTATTATACCATGGTTTTGTTATAGCCTCTCCATAGAGGTGCCCCCAAAAATTTCGATATTTTAAAAACTTTTTTTAAAGAAAAGGGGTCTATTGTGTTCTCATTAGGTAGCATATCTTCCTACCAACAATTATGAATATTGACCCAAGTTTCAGGTTAGCCCCCCTATATCGGTGACCCCAATTTCTGTATTTTTAAGATTTTGGTCTCGATTTTCAACATAATTGGCTGTAAATTAATATTTTTAGTTCTCATTGAGTGGAAAATCTTACTACCAAAAATTATGGATATCGGTCGAAGTTTCCTTATAGCCCTTAGGTGGAGATTTTGGGATCGTAATTCAACGGATTAAGCTGTATTTTGATATTTTGGTTTCTCATTACTACCAACAATTATGAATATTGGCCCAAGTTCCAGGGCAGTCCCCATAAAGCGGTGGACCCAATTTCCGAGTTTTTTTAAAGATTTTGGTCTCGTTTTCCATCACAATTGGCTGTAACTTAGTATTTTGAGTTCTCATTGGGTTGAAAATCTTCCTACCGAAAATGATCGATAAAGGTGCCCCTGAATATTCGGTATTGTGGAGATTTTGTCACGTTTTCAACCGATTTGGCTGTAATTTTATATGATGGGTTCTCAATATATAGCAAAATTTCCTATGAAAAAATTTCGATATTGGTTCTCTTTTAAGGGGACCCCCCCATTCTCGGTGTCAAAAAATTTTTTGATTTAATTCGAATCTACTCTAATTCTAGAATGTTCCTACAAAATTTCAAGTGAAAATCTCAAGAACTCTTGAAGATATAGCCGATTTATTGTGTCAGCATCAAGTGACGGCTAAAGGGCTTCTCAACCTTTAAACGCGTTTTTCTCAAAACGAATGGCGGGCACGATAACTCAAAAACTAGTAATCCAATCGGTTTCAAATTTTGACACGTTTCTCTGGGAGTGTGTAGCTCTCGTATGAACTAGGATAAAGCCAATCGGTGAAGATCTTCCTTATTTTTTAACTTAGTTTGTGGTAAAAAATAGGCGATTTTATATAAAAAAATTTTCAAAGTTCCGCCATTTTGTTAATTGTTGTGCGAAGTCAATAATCCTAGTTCATACGAGAGCCAGACATGTCCTCTTTCTAACACAGTTGGAATTTTCGGATTCCGATGTTCCAGTGAGGAGTTATCATGCCCGCCATCGAAAATATCGTCTTTTCTTTGAACCCAAAAAACAACAACAAAACAACAACAACAACTTTTGGTAAATTATTTTTCTTCTTCTTTAAATCTTCAAATATATATGTGCCAAGTTACAAACCTTAACAAGCATTGGTATTCATTTAACAGCCAATTTAAAATCTTAAAAATAAAAAATGGAGAATGGGGGGGGGGGGGGGGGGGGGGGGGGGGGGGGGGGGGGGGGGGGGGGGGGGGGGGGGGGGGGGGGGGGGGGGGGGGGTTCCCTTAAGCCTAGTCCCAAATATAACAATACTTCCCAAATTTCGATGTTTGGCTGTAATTTGATATTTTGGGTTCTCAGTAGATATCAAATCTTCCTGTCAAAAATCATCATTATTGGTCGACTTTTTAGTGTGGCCCCCACTTAGGGTTTCCATATATCGTTTTGTTCGATTTCATATCTCAAATTTTGTTCACAACAATTTCAAAAATTTATTTACAATTATTAAATAACAAACAATTAAATTAGGTTCACGCTGCCGCTGTATGGGGTTTTGCATAAGCGGGGAAATTTAATTTCAAACCTTCTCTAGCCTCAAAGAAGGTATAGGACAACGTAATGCTATCGACATTTTCCAATTTCGGATCTTTGACATACTCAGGGTCAATGTAGAAGAAGACAGGCATGTCGACCTAAAATTAACAAAAAAAAAATTGTGAGAAAAAAATCAGGCATAAGTAGAATATAGGAGCTGGATTGGGATCGATCCGATTACGTCAGGGTGTGGGGGGAAGTTAATAAATTCCCGATATATGTATATGACACCGAAAATCCCTTCACTGATATTCCATTAAAATTCATACACTGTGCTAATAATTTTTGTACCAAGGGTAGATCAAATCGATCCCAGTCCATCTCCATAGTTTCAAAAATTAATTTTAAATACAAAACCCACCTCCTCGTGTGGATTCAATTGCTGCTCCTCGAAACAAAAGCATTGTATCTTATTAAAATACGCCCCCGCCTCGAATGGCACCACATTATAGGTACTTATACCAATGACCGGATGATCTGTAGGATTTTTTGCCGTATAAAATGCTAAAGCTGTCTCACCCGGAGCCACTTTAATTTCATATTGTTGGGGACGGAAATTCCAACGCATCGAAGAGGCAACATCGGCATTGAAACGCACTTTGATAATGCGATCTTTAACCTTTTCCATTGTTTCGACTTTTTCGGCATCGTGACCCTGACTAGTGGTGCCACCATAACTATAGGCCTACAAAGGAGGAAGAAATATTTTATGATTTTCTTTTCATATCGAATTGCTTACCTGACAGAACATTCGGTATAGCGGCACGGCGGCATAACTTAAACCCACAATTAAAACACCTCCCGCAGTGACATAGTAAAGTGTGGACCTTAAATTTGTTTTCCTAATAGACTCAGCACCCGGTCCACTACCGCCTGTTCGTTGTGATGGTCGTGGTGTTTGCAGCGAATATGAACGGGTTGTTGTTGTTTTTACACTGGAACGCAGACATTTTGAACTTAGCTGACCTATAAAGCGTAACATTTTATTTAATCTAGGTTGGAAGTGGGTTTAAATGGGTCTCTTTTTTCCGAGGAGTCTGTCGTTCCTGAACGTAGTGGTGGTTCAAAGGAACTATTCACTAAATGGAATTCATTTTGTAATCATTGCGAGGTTAGAACAGCTGTTAAGTGTTACGAAAGGGGTGGGAACGGCTAAAAGAAGAAAAACAGCTGAGCTAAAAATTGAGTGTCAAGAATACGTGTGGAATGGGGGAATCAACAAGATACCGGTCGTGGAGTTAAAACTTAAAACTTATAGATGCTGCCTTTCAAACTGTAATGCAGGGAATGATTTATTTAATATATTAATTATTGTTAATATTTTACTAACGGTATTTATTGACTAAAAATAATATTTATTTTTGAAAAATTTCCCACCAAAAAATCCTGGATTTAAAAAAAAAAAATTTCTTCAAAAAATTCAAAGCAATTAATAGTTCTTTCGTTTATAGTGACTTTCAAACTATAGCGATTGCCAAGAAAACGGTAACATTTGTTACAGGGTGTTTGTTCTTAATATACAATATCACCCTGTTTTTTACAATTTGAAGGCTTTAAAAATACAAAAGTAATTAACGTTTCCTTCATAGTGACTTTCAAACTGTAACCTTTGCCAAAAGGACGCTAATAATTGTTACAGGGTGTTTGCTAATAATATACAATGTCACCCTGTTTATTATCATTTGAGTGTTTTCAAAAATATCAAATCAATTTTCCGTTCCTTTCGTTCATAGTGACTTTCAAACTGTTACAGTTGGGTGATTGCTCTTAATATATAATGTCACCCTGTTAATTATCATCTGAGTGTTTTCAATGGCAAAACAAGAGGTGAATCAATGACAATGTAACGGTTGCCATGCGAACGGTAACAATAGCAACCGCCATGTCACCCTGTTATTAAGTGGTTGAAGTGCTTTCAATGGCAAAACAAGAGGATTTGTTGACAGAAAAGGAAGTAAATAAAAATATATAATTAATTAATGAAATAAAATCAAATAAATTTTATTTTGTAATTAAATAAACTATTAAAATTGTGAAATAAAAAACATCCTATTATTTAATAATATATTTAAATAATTGAGATAAGGTAAGTGATGTAAAAGTGATAAAAGCAGTATTTTTGTTTACCTTCGTTGGAGATGGCGTTTTTACACTACGGCGTGAAAGGCGTGTTTGCATTTAAAATCAGAAAGATGAGATAAAATATATTTAAAATGGAAAAAAAGTGTCTCGCATTGGAAAAAAATTCTGAAAAAAATTTTTTCGAATATAAAAAATTCAGCAACAACTTTTTTGAATAAAAAATTCAAAAAAAAAAAAAATGTTTTCAAATAGAAAAAATTCAGAAAAAAAATTCATAAAAAATCGTATATAGAAAATTTTTTTAAAAAATATTTATTTCAAATAGAAACGAATTCGGAAAAAATATTCTTTTTATAAAATGTGCAGACAAATTGTTTCGTATAGAAAAATTAGAAAATTTGTTTTCGGATACAGTTTATTGGTTTTAAAAAATTGAAAAAATATCTCCATAGAAAAAATTAAAAAAAAATTTGATCAATAGAAAAAAATAAATATAATTTTTAATATTTCTTTATTAAAAAAAGTTGAAAATTTTCTGAAACAAAAAAAGTTTTTTTTCTCTGGAAAAAATCGGAAAACAGAAAACAATTTCAAGAAATTGCATATAGAAAAAAATTATGAAAATTTATTCATATTACTTACTTAGCCGAGCTTAAAAAAGATTTCCAGGCGCATCGGTCTTTTGCGCTGTTTTTCCAGTTTGAAAGATCATATTCGGCAATGTTGTCTTCCACTTGATCTTCCCATCTAATTCGTGATCTTCCCCTTCTGCGTGATCCATTAGCTGGTTCGTTTTTATATGCCTTCTGGGCTGGGGCATCTTCATGCATTCTCACAACATGACCTAGCCAACGTAGTCGCTGCAGTTCAATACGTCTAACAATGCCGATGTTCGAGAATAGCTGGTACAGCACATGGTTCATTCTCTCAAACACTCCAAGAGCTGCCTCTTCTGCTTGCGTAAGTACCCATGCTTCAGATCCATATAACAGCACGGCGGGTAGTATCAGCGTCTTGTAAAGTGTGAGTTTGGTCTGCCGGGATGTGGCCTTGCTTTTGAGTTGCTTACTCAGACCATCTGTTGGCCAAAACAATCCTTCTCTGAATTTAAAACTGATGTCATTAGTTTTATTTATGGCGGTAACAATCAATATAAAATCTTTGACTACCTCGAAGCTGTAGTTCTCAAGTTCCACAGTTGGTCCGAGTCTACTGGACGTCTTGCGCGTTGATACCATCAGCTTGGTCTTCTCGCCGTTTATTGCCAGACCCACGTTGGCCAACCCACTTCTCAATTTGTTCAAAGGTGGCTGTTACCGCTCGCAATGTTCGACACATTACATCGATCATCGGTGGCATGGGCGAGTAACATGTATGGTTTGGTGTATAGAGTGCCATTTCTGTTCACCTTTGCCTTTGTCATACGAGACCTTTTCCAGCAGGATGTTAAAAATATCACACGACAAATTGTCACCTTGTCTGAATCCTCGTTCGATATTAAAGGGCTCCGAGAGGTCATTTCCGACTTTAACTGCTGACCTTGTCCCACATAAAGTTATCCTGTATAGCCGTATTAATTTTGCAGGAATGCCGATCGCAGACATGGCTTTAAACACCCCTGAACGGATAGGGCTGTCGAATGCGGCTTTATGGTCAACGAATAGGTGGAATGTGTCGATGTGTTTTTTTCGGGCAGGTCTGAAGCCGCATTGATATGGTCCAATAATGTCATTGTCAACGAATAGGTGGAATGTGTCGATGTGTTTTTTTCCGGGCAGGTCTGAAGCCGCATTGATATGGTCCAATAATGTCATTGACCATTGGCTTCAGTCTTTCACAGAGCACACAGGATAGCACTTTATATGCGATGGGAAGAAGGCTAATTCCTCTATAGTTGGCACATATCGTCTCCTTTTTTGTGCACGGGACACAGGATGTTGAGGTTCCAATCATTGGGCATGCATTCCTCTAGCCAGATTGTACTAATCAGCTGGTGTATGCTCCTGACCAGCATCTGTCAACCAGTCTTTAATAGTTCGGCTGGTAACCCATCGGCTCTTGCTGCTTTATTGTTCTTGAGCCGACTAATTGCTTTTATGACCTTATCTTGGCTTGATATATACACTCTATACCTTCAGCTCTTATTGGTTCTGAAGAATCTTCTTCCCGGCCATTATTTTATATCAGAAGCTTTTCAAAATGCTCGTTCCAGTTCCTCAACAGCTGTCTGTATTTGTCACCAGGATTCCTCCTTCATCTCTACAGGAGAATGTGCTTGCACCAAAACCTTCGGTTTGGTGTTTTACTCGTTGGTAAAATTTCCGGACTTCATTCTGACTGCTACCTGTTGTGTGTGCAGCTTTTCGACGTCGAGTTTCCGTCTAATACACTGGATGAATGCCTTCCGTCTATCACAACATGATCAATTTTATTTCTCGTTGTTTGATCAGGAGAAATCCAGGTGGCATTGTGTATATCGCGGTGCTTTATATTTATTGAGACCAAAAATTGATTGGATTTTTAAAGAAGTTTTTTAAAATGTTATCCTCTAGCCTTTTGATACAAAATATTTTCGTCGGGACTTTTTTAAATATTCTAATTTTTTATTTTCAGAAATACTCAAATTTAAATCATGGACCTTGACAATGGCCTTGATGATTTCGATAATTTCTTTGGCGCTAAGAAAACCAAGAAACCAGTATCAAAAATCCCCGATCCCACGGATGATTTATTTGGCTTAGACGAGGGCAAAGATGACAGTCGTGTACCAGCTCCTCGTAAGACTATAACAAAATCGCTCGGCGTTAAATCCTTACTTGCTGATAGCAAGGCCGGAGGCGACGACGATGATGATGATTTGGGATTTGATCCGAAGAAACCCAAAGGGGGTTTGAGTAAATCAAAAAATCTTTTCGATGATCTATTGACTCCCTTGGAGACCAAAAGGCCTCAAACGGCTGGACCACCTTCAAAGCCACCTACAATTTCGAGGCAATCAACTGATACCACCACAGATAATTCAAATATTTTGCAGACTCAAGCAAGGCCAAAAACATCGGCAGGACGTCGAACATCTAATATACAAAACCCGGACCCGTTGGGATTGTTTAGCAAAGAGAGGGAGGGAAATGTTCCCAGTTCTTCGGGTAGGTCAACACCAAAAACTAAGAAGAAAGGTACGACGGCAGATTGGTTGGGTTTAAATACGGAAACGGAACCAGAGCCACAAACTGTGGCACCAAAACCCAGTACTCGGCCACAAACACCAAAGGTAAATATTCCACCACCCACAACAACGACACAGGAAGCTGCCGAAATTTTACACATACCCGATGTTAGAGAAGATCACTATGAAGATTCGGCAGATGAATTATTGAACACGGAAAGACATCCTGCTCCGTCTGCGGTACCACAGCAAATGGAAATAAATCCCAAAGAGTCTCAAGAAAATATTGTTTTTGATTCCACGGCCCATAATATACGCCTGATGAACACCATGAATCTGGAGGCCAAACAAAGTTTCACCGCCCTTAAATATCAGGAGCAACAGCTTCTGATGGCTGCTCAAATGAAGCAACAGGAAAAGGTCCTTATGGATATGCAACAGCGACAGAATAACCTTCTACAACAACAGGAGAGACAATTCCAGACATTGCTGCAACAACAAATGCAACGTCATCATCAGCTGGAGGATCTCATCAAGCAGCAACAGAATCGCATTAATACCCATTTGCATTTGCTAATGTCCCAGCCACCGGTGATAGAGAGCGGATCCGTGACGGGGGATTTGGATGAAGTTGGTCCACGTTATAGAGAGGATTATAAAAAAGAAACTAAGCAGGAAGAGAGAGAAGAGCGTAGGGATAGAGAGAAGCAACACGAAATGGATGTAATCCAACTGGAGGCGGATAATAAACGTTTGGAATTGGAAAATCTTCGATTGGAAGAATTGGTGGCCAATACGAAAAATAATTATGAAAGGGAAATTGAAATATTGGAGAAGACCTATAAGTGAGTAAAGAAAATATTTTTTTTTTTTAAAAATTCGTAAAAGTAGCTTAAAAATCCAGGACCACATAAGTGTCCTAGGAGAAAAAGTATTTCCGATTTATTGAGAACAAAAATTGATTAACTCAAAAAAAAATCCGTGTCTGTGTCTCTATTTACAGAAAACAAATCGAAGTCCTCGAGGAGCATCTCTCAAATCTCGAGAAACGTTTAAAATCCGAAATTGAAGAGCTACAAAATTATTTTCAAAAGAAAATCGATACACTGGAAGAGGAAAAGTCACAACTGAAACTGTCCTACACCGAAGAAATTCAAAATCTCAGACAAGATCATGAAGATGAAGTTCGAAAATTAAAAAAGAATCAAGAAGAAGATTTGGAAATGTTGAAGGAGGAACATCGTCGCATGTTGGATAATATACGACAGGCGAAAATGTTGGAATTTGCAGCGGTTCAAGAAAATGGTTCTTATCTCGAATGCTTGCGTGTGGCCTCTTCCAATCTCAGCGAATTAACGGGTGGCCTCAGCGAACTCAAAGAAAATATGCAAAATAAAATTGACAATTTACACTTGGAAAGGGAAAAGAAATTGGAGGCAAGGGAGAAGCGAATTGAAGATGCCGAGAGGAGACTGAAGATCAACGAAGAGTCCAATGAGACGGAGAAACAAAGACTAATGGAATTGGTGAGCACATTGGAGTTACAGATGGCGAAAATGTCCAAAGATTCCGCAGAGGAGAATTGGCAATTGCGGCAAAAATTAGCCAGCCTCGATGCTGAGAAGGCTGCTTTTGCAAAGGAACGGGAATTCTTTCGCGAACAAATGCTTCGAGATGAGGAGCGAATAAAGAAGTTAAAAGAATTACAACTCTTGGAGACTCAACGTATGCAGACCCAAATCCAAGAGGAACGAGCCCAGTTGCAGGTGGAAAGATCGAAATTTGACTTGGAAAAGCGTCTCCACGCCAATACGGACAATCAAAAGGAGCGCCAAGAAATTGAGGCTGCTATGCAAGTGGCCCAAGATGCTGCCCGCAAGGCGGATGCCGAGCGAGAACGTTACTACAAAATGCAACGTCAGTTGGAACAACAAAAACGTGACCTTGCCGATAAAGAACATGCCCTCAGTGTCAAAGAAGAGGAGTTACAACAAGAACTTATGTCCTACCGCATGGCTGAGAGGGTGGCGCAAGAAACACAACAAAAAGCCAAAATGGCTGAGCAATTTTTTCACAATAAAATACAAATGCTGCAGCAACGTAGTCAAGAAATCGCCGAAAAAGAATCGAACTTATCTCAGGAACGTTTACTACTCGCTCAGGATCGTATTGCCCTGCATGCTCTAAAGACGAAATTGTCACAACAAAATAAATGTTCTCTTTGTCAGTTGTCACAGCAGAATAAAGATATCTCGGAGAATTTGCAGAAAAATATTTCCTTGGTATACGATAAGCCATTGGAGGACTTCGAAGTGCCACAACAACGCCTTGGGAATGTTAATATGGATTTTATGGGGCAAAGTAATGCTGTGGAACGTTTACTGGATGCCAATATTGCCGATTCGTTGCGTAAAATGACAGCTACCTCCAATTTACAGGGATGGGAAATGCTACTGCTCGACGATGATCACAAGAAAATGGTGCAGTCCAGCAATATGGGGAATTCTGGAAATAATGGGAAATAAAAAATGAAATGGATTTTAAGAAATAAAAAAATATTTTTGGAACTTAAGAAAGAAATTTTAATGGAGCTCTAAATCCACTGCTAACCTCATTCCACTTACAAATAAGAAATAATCAATTTTTGTTCTCAATAAATATTTTTCTATTCGGATAAAAAATAGGCAACGCGAAAGTGAAAAAATATATATTTAATATATGTCGATCTAGACATGTGTGTCCGTCCGTCCGTCTGTCCATTATAATTTGTAAACACGATAGAGTAACCCATTACCACACTAGATGGCGGAAATATTGCGCTGATTGCTTTGAAATTTTTAATGAGGTTCCAGTTATGGTCAAGGACAACGCCGATAATTTTCGGTAATGATCAGATAAGATCCATAAGATTTTATGGATTTTTTTTCGAGTCGGTCTATATGCCACAGTTGAAAGCCGAACATCACAATACAACCCACGGTGAAGGGAATCTGGAAAAGTAATTAGAAGGGCTGTACTCAATACACCGAAGATTTCAAACTGAAGGAAGGAACCACAGCTATTGGTCTGGACTTTGCCAAAGCTTTTGATGCAGTTTGGCAACACGGCATTCTTTATAAGATGCAATCACTCGGATTCGATTATCAAAACTTGTCACATGGTGGCAAGTTTTCTTAAGTATCGAGTATTCCGTGTGAGAGTGGAAGATAAAATGTCTGAACAGTGATCGGTCAAAGCAGGGGTGCTACATGGATCACTGCTGGGACCAGTTCTATGCAACCTGTTCGACATACCGTAGCCTCCTGAAAGAGGACTTCTATTGACGTACGCCGATGGTGTGCTACTTGCTCTACCAGGCCGTTTTGGAAGAAGATTGAATGTGTACCTGGAAACACTTCAAAACTATTTCAAAAAATGAGGACTCAAATTCAATGTTGGAAAGTGTGTAACTTTGGTTTTCAAGGGCAAACCCAAGTCCACTGCAAAAAGCTCCCGAAAATACACTCCAACTATAAAGGTTGGCAATCAATTCATTGGAGTGTCAGACAGGATGAAATACCTTGGAATCATCCTGCACGAAAGGTTTCAAAGGCCATAAAGATGAACTTTGCCTATCAAAGACTCTTTCGGATAAGAGGAGGACATTCATCGGAGGTAAAGTTGATAATATACAAGCAAGTGATTCGTCCCATCATCACCTACTCCTTTGCAGCATGGGCAGAAAGATGAACTTTGCCTATCAAAGACTCTTTCGGATAAGAGGAGGACTATCATCGGAGGTAAAGTTGATAATATACAAGCAAGTGATTCGTCCCATCATCACCTACTCCTTTGCAGCAGATGGAAAAGGATTAGAATGTGGGAGAGAAATATATTGGTATCATGCGTAGGAATGAGACCAACACTGGATAGAAATATATAGACGTCCGGCCAATAGGAAGATCTACAATGCAATCGACTTCAACAGAATCGATGTCTGCATGATGAAATATGCCCTCAACTTCTTGGAAAGGAGTCAGCTTGTGGAAAATGGAATAGTGGAGCGATACCTGGAGTGCAACAAGGAACTCCCCTCCATACTCAGAAGGAAACACCTTCCTCCTGCAGCTTGGCTGAAGCTACGAGACGGAGGAATCCCTTACGATGAAGAAGGCCGTCTGATGTACTATCATCGGAGGTACAATAGATTTGACGCCGATATAGATTTTTTTAATTTATTTTCCATATAGTCTGAAATTCATAAATACTTTTCCCATCGATGTCTTCATGATGAAATATGCCCTCAACTTCTTGGAAAGGAGTCAGCTTGTGGAAAATGGAATAGTGGAGCGATACCTGGAGTGCAACAAGGAACTCCCCTCCGTACTCAGAAGGAAACACCTTCCTCCTGCAGCTTGGCTGAAGCTACGAGATGGAGGAATCCTTTACGATGAATAAGGTACCATAGATTTGACGCCGATATAGATTTTTTTAATTTATTTTCCATATAGTTTAAAATTCATAAATACTTTACCCATTTCCTCATTTTTAAAGTTTCCGATTTATTTTTTCAAATTAGAGATTTTTCGGCTGGCATAAATTGTCTAACTCCTTTGGGAAATTGTTCCCGCATTTAATTTCCTTCAAACATTATGCCGGTTTGCCAGATAACATTCTTCGAACATTTGGTCACAGATGTCTTTGTGAAAGCGAACGAAGATATTGGACGGGAAGGAACAAAATTCAACCCTTGAATTTCCATAATGCGACTTTAAAAGGCAACCAACCAGTCGGCAGTCACCACAGCCAGTAGTTGTTGGTATTATTCCCCCGACCATGATGAGTGAAGGGTAAACAGGGGGGTATGGCGAATGATGATGAATTACCACCTTACCATACCATTTGGTTATGCATAAAAATTATGGATTACCCCACTCCAAAGGTTACACAAAGTTTGGGCTTAACCGGCCACACACACAACAAAAATGATTGATAGGCCACCTCAAAATGATATTCGAAATAAAATGCAATTTAAAAATCGATTTCCATGGAGTCTCAGCCGTTTTGGGGTAAAAAAATTGAAAACAATTATTGATTACTTCCGAAGGATATACTAATTACAAAATAATTGCAAAGCAGTGGAGAGAGAGAGAGAGAACAATGAGAAAATAATGAGACTCTATTTGCAGCTGGGATCAGGGTGAAGAACTGCTGGGAAAATATAGAGATTTGTCCCAAAAAATTTGGAAACCCAGGAGATTTTTGGAATGACTTCTAGGTAGCTTTCCTGAAGATAGGTAGGAATTATTGTTTAATATTAAAAGTTTCTCTTCTAAAAGACCAGAATTTGATCTCATAAGTTCTTCTCACGATTTCTATAGGCTCCTCCCTCTTTATTTACCCCTTACAAAAATCCATTACCACTTGATTAATTATTCAACTAATTTGTGTATTCAATAAAATGTTGATTAAACTATTTAAATACACAAAAAAACCTGAAATAGTTTCCGAAACACTATTTGGTTTCATTGTTTTATAACCACCTCGACATAACCTCGAATAGACAAAAAAATTGAAACATATTATTTAAATATTTGCATTGGCGGTGTACAACAATTTTTTTTTGATTACAGCCAAATGGTAGCTGGCGGCACCTTGGAAAGACCCAACACACACATAGAGAGAGAGAGAGAGAGGTAGAGGGGAACAAATAAGAACAGAAGCTGCCGCCACCAACATTTACTTAAGGTTGGTATGTCAGGCTTTTTTGTTGAGGTTAATATTTACATTTAACGTCTCTTGTCTCTCATTTTTTGGTACGGTTCCCAAGGAGGACAGGCATAGAAGAAATGAAAGAGTTCTAAGAAAAGAAGAAGAGAAAAAACGGCGGAAAAGCGAAATTTGTAACTGTAATGAAAGGAGTCAAATAATAATAAAAAAAAACAACAATCATTTCGATGTGGGGGAAAAAGTGTCGCCTTTCCAAGAATTAATTACATTTTTAATTATTTATTTAAATTTTCTGGGCAACGTTTTGTAAACAGAAACAGAACAACAGAGCCAAAGCAATGGATGCGTTATTTGTTTAGACGTTTACGGCGGACGACAGACGATAAATATGTAAGCCAAAGAGAAAACATGAAAATGAATACAAAGCAAATACAATAATAAAAATACAGACCGAAACAAATGATATTTGGCCTAATTGAGACAAACAGAATTGGAAAAGTCAAGCAAATGAAAAAATAATTTAAAAAAATCTATGACTGGTTGATTATTACAAAATAATATTTTAGTGATTATTTATACTCTTTCGAGTCGAGCTTGATGATCTGAATTTTGCAATGAAAAGGAAAGCCAGGAGAAGAACCTACGTACCCACCATTATGCGACGCGTTTCGCCGTTGGTTAAGCGGCTCATCATGCATATTGGGCTATGTGCCTTTACAAAGGTCGTACGTTGATGACTTGTATTTATTCCGCCCTGATGCGAAACTTGCATATGCGAATTAAATTCAATTTTGTCAAAGTTCGACATTTGTCTTCATTCTAGGAACAGTCGAACCTAGGTCCTCGGAGCAACACAAAATGTTGCCAAGACCACTTAACGTTCTGAGCCATCAACACACTTCCAAAACGGTTGCGCAAAAACATGTGTATACCATGGAAGCAATTGTAGGTGTGTGGATTAATTATCCATCGCTACAACAAAAATCTGCTTTGAAAAGGACTGTTCCTAGAATGAAGACAAATGTCGAACTTTGACAAAATTGAATTTAATTCGCATATGCAAGTTTCGCATCAGGGCGGAATAAATACAAGTCATCAACGTACGACCTTTGTAAAGCCACATAGCCCAATATGCCTGATGAGCCGCTTAACCAACGGCGAAACGCGTCGCATAATGGTGGGTACGTAGGTTCTTCTCCTGGCTTTCCTTTTCATTGCAAAATTCAGATCATCAAGCTCGACTCGAAAGAGTATAAATAATCACTTAAATCACTTTCAAATGATCACAAAAATTCAAATAACAAAAAAATATTTTTTTAAAATCCACTTGAAAGATATTTTTTTTAAATCCTAGCCCTGTTGGTACCATGAAAAAATCAAGCGACTATTTGTTAGCTTGGAAAAATATTTCATAGCAATCCCCGCTTGGTTTTTACCCCGAAAAACTTATTTGAATGAAAAAGGAAAATAAACAAGTGAAAAGCGTTGGATACCCTCCACCATAGATATACTGACAGGTACTAGAAATGAAAAAATATAGGGAACATACCAAAAAGTGGACCTATACCGACATGTAAACCATTACGTAAACCATAATACAAATTTCAGAATTTTTTAATTGATAATTTAAATTCGAAGATGGGAATAGGTCTAACTGCGGCTATAGTTCATTATCGAACCTTAGTTGTAATTTTTTATCTCGCTATCCTCCGCAGGTGAAATGATTACTATAGAGTCTTAGAACCAAACTCAAAACGCAAAACAAATCAGATAACTATTTTAATATAAACAAGTGAAAAAGCGTTAAGTTCGGCCG